TTTTTGCTCTATCTGGATTTTTCTCTCCTAACTGTCCATCTGACTGGCATCCAGACATCTTTCAGTCTCAACTGAAACATAGTTTCTTCAGACAAGTCTTCCTGACCAATCCCAGCAACTTTCTCTCCCATCAACCTTTGACTTTTACTTTCTTTTAGTGGCATAAATTCCTTCCCATTTTGGAACACTATTTTCTTGTATGTAGAAAGAAAAGGGAAGCACAATAGAAACTGAGTAATTCTACTTTCACTCACATCCACTAACTTCCTTATTCACTGCTTTGCTCTGAACAATGCTAGAAGAATCTTTGGCTCTCAGCATTTTCTCAGGCTTCAGCCCACTCTGGGTTTTACTCTTCTCTTACTATTGTTTACAGCTCATGCAACACCTTTGTGCGTATTTCTCATTATGTGTTCCTTTGTTCATCTGTTCTACAAGCCAGTTTTTAAAATTGATTTTTCTGGAGACTCATACATTTTTCTAGTGGTCTCTCTTTAGGGATTAAGTGAAATGCTCTTTCCAGCATTTGTTAAAGTTAGTTTATAGAATTCCTTATTTTTAAGGACTCTGTCTTCTGTCAAAGTTACCAATGATTCCAAGCTGCCACAGGCAATTATCACTTCCTGGGCCTCATCCCACTCTGCATCTTTGCAACATCTGACACAAGTGACCATTCCCCTTTTTTTGGGAAACACTTCCTGGCTTGGGTTCCATGATGATACTCTTTTCTAGGGAAGGAGGGAGGTTATTTTTGTTTGTTTTTTGTTTGTTTGTTTGTTTGGTTTGGTTTTTACTGGCTTCTTCTATGCAAGATCCCTCAATGTTAGAATGAGCCAGAGCACAGTCCTTAGGTGATATGCTCAAGAGCAGGGCTCTAACCAGCGGCCAAAACTCTTTACTGCCAAATGTCTATGTTCAACTACGACTGCCTCCAAGTGCTCCAAATTCGATATCCAAAAGCCCAATGTGACATTTCCACAAGGACACCTCAAATATACCCCAAAAGGCTGAAAAGGAGTTCTGCATCTCTTCCAGTTTTGTCATTTCACTTAGTGTTATCCGTCTTAGGAGACAGCTCACCATCTATCCAGTGTCTGGTGATCATTTCGGTTCTTCCTTTTCTTCATCCCACCCTTTATCCAATTTGTCAGCAAGGCCCGCCAGCTCTGCCTTCCAACGGTTCCTGAATCTATTTCTCTCCAGGCCCACTGTTCCAACTCTGCTCTATGCCACTGTCATCTGCCGAAATAGCCTCCTAGCTCGTCTCTCTTCTCCTCTGCTCACCCTACAGGATCTTCTCTTCAGGGAGGCCAGGGGGATCCTTCAGAAAGATGGCGTCCTCTTCCTTTGAATCATACAGCACTCTCCTACCCCTCCAGGTCACTCTCAGTATTTTACATTAAAAAAATTTTTAAATAGTACAGAAACTTGTGTAATAGCTAATTTGTATATTGACTTGGGTGTCTATCTTTCAAACAAGAATGTAATTTCCATGATATTAACCTCTATTATCCACTGGCTTAGAAAAATACCAAGGCTCAGAATACGCTCAGTATCTGTTGAGTGAATTTTAAATAGACAATATCTAAATCATAGAATCTTCTCACTTCATTCAGATCACAAATCGAAAGTCAACAATGTGCCTTAGGACTTTCAAAGCCCTCTGTGACCTGGCCTCATGATCCCGCTCCCCCACTTCTTGCTACCCTCACCCCCTCCTCCAGGTGTGCAGGCTTCTTTGGTTCCTGAAAGATACCAGACAAACCCCTGCTAGTTATCCTTTCTGTCTGGAAAACTCTTCCTCCTCACAACCGCATGGCTTACCCACTGACTTCCTTCAGGCCAACATTCAAAGATCTTCCTCTCGGTAAGGCTGTCTAATAAATAAATTAGAAAAAGGGATTAGATAAAGAATAAGCTATAAGGGATAAGAAATAAGCTCAACTTCCCAGTATAGGCCATCTCTGCAACAAATAATTCTTAGAGTGGCACATTCTCTGGTCTTCTTTGGTTTTATCCAGTCCCTGTAATGACTTCCCAAGTGGTCTCTCCAGCCTCACCTTGGAGTGCCTTCCACTCAGCCCCTCCACTTAGCGGCCTTCCACTTAGCCCCTCCATCAGCTTACTGGGCATCTGGTCTAAAATTTCAACACGTGCTGGGCCATGCCACTGACACTTTCTGCATGCCTCCTCTGCTGTATATATTCTCTCCCAGCACTTATCTCTAATAGATTATAGATTCAGTATATTACTCAACATAACATATTATAGCTTATATTATAGTTATGTATCTTGTTTACTCTCTATTTCCCCAATAAAAGGCAAGCTTTTTCGGGCCAGAGGCTTTTTTTTTTTTTTTTTTTTGTCTGTTTTGTCCAACTCTGTCCACACAGAGCCCAGACCACTGCCTGACAGTAAGAAATATCTGTTGCATAAATGAATAAGAAACTTTAATCCTTTTTCTTAAGACACCAAACAGTTGTTTAGTTAAAAAAGACAACTAATGAAAGATTTGTTTGATTGTGTGTTACTCTCATTATTGGTAATCTAGACAAGTTTCCTCCATTCAACACGGGCCTATGAGAGAAGGCTAATATTTGGAGAATATGAATAAGGATTGTGTGAAACTAAGTAATACCCTCAACTCCACTTATGAGTTTTACAATAGGCTTTTATTATGCTTAGTGATGTTGCTATTCCCTACTACTATGTAATGAACTTCATCTCTAGGTACACCTAATAATGAGTACAAAATCATTCTCCTTTAGGGGCATCTGGGTGGCTCAGCTGGCTAAGCATCCAACTTCAGCTCAGGTCATGATCTCACAGTTTTTGGGTTGGAGCCCCACATAGGGCTCTGTGCTGACAGCTTGGAGCCTGGAGCCACCCCATCCCTCTGTCTCTCTCTCTCTCTCTCTCTCAAAAATAAACATTAAAAGTTTTTTTAAAAATCATTCTTCTTTAGCCACCAACTCTAGAAGTGACATACTCTTCATGGGCAACACCTGGTTTGTCCTATTTCTACTGTAATTGTTTTCCTTCATCTCAACATCACAATTATCTTGCTTAACAGCTAGACAACTGGTTAACCTACCCTGATGAATCAACTCAAGAAACTGGATTAATTGTGAGCGGAGCTTTATGTGAATAGTTGGTCTATGTTTCATGCTGTGCTACCAACTTGAAAGACCAAATACCTAACATGAAGCTTTCCAGAGTGAGAAGGGTGGGAAAAGAGCAGATTTCTGTTCTAAACCACCTGTGGTTTGGGAAAAATTCCACTTTTCCAGAAAAACAGTTAAATAAATGAAAAGCAATTCAGAAACCAACCGATCATGTTAGAATGAAGCCAGTGTGCCAAGAAGGTGAGAAGACCAACTTAGGAGGGTTACCTTCCCTATCAGGTCAAATATGCCCATTCTAGAAATAGCCTGTGAGACTTGTCATTGGCTTACATTTGACAGATTCCCTTTATCCCTTCTTGGCAACTGTAAGAACAGGCTCATCCAGTTTCATCTGAAATGTTTTGTTTTCCTTTCAAAAGCACTGACGGTAACATTTTATGGGAGGCCATAGTCAGTTCTTAAGCAGAAAAGCCTTATTAATATTAAGGTATCTGTCAGGATTACTCTTTTTTGGTCGTCCGTAAGAATCCCCTCTTGCCTTAAAGAAGGCCTGATGCCATCTATGAAAAATAACTATTTAGGCGGAAAGGCACAAGGCAAGCGTGACTCTCACTTCATATTACAATGTAGACTTTATAATAACTTCAGAATTCAACAGGCTATAATGCCGAAGCCCATCTCTTCTGTTAACTTCTCAAATTCAGAACTATACAACCATACACACAAATATATATATTTATTTATTTACTTATTTACAATATCACTGAGTTTGCGTGATTGTAACTAAATATTAAAAATAGTAAGGGCGCCTGGGTGGCTCAGTCAGTTGAGCGACTGACTTCGGCTCAGGTCATGATCTCCTTGTCTGTGAGTTCAAGCCCCGCATCCCCCCTGGAACCTTCAGATTCTGTGTCTCCCTCTCTGTCTGCCTCTTCCCTGCTTGTGTGCTCTCTCTCTCTCTGTCTCTCAAAAATAAATAAACATTTAAAAAGAGGAATAGCACACATTTTAAAAAATAGAAATAAAAATTCATAGCTACTGTTATCTTAAATAACCATTCTGTTGGTAATGACCTTGGAACGACATTTACTCATGTGGGCTTAGTTTACTAATGTACCATTTAAATCAACTGGAACCTTATACTCTTAATTTTAGCTCTTGAAATAAAAAGCCAGTAAACATCTTACAGGTGTGGTGACTTTAACCAAACACAGCTTTTTCCTAGGAATGCAGCCTCTAGCTTTCGCTAGTCATCTGCTCCTACAGCTTTCAAATAATTAAATAACGTTGTGTTGGGTGGGAAGCTTGGAAGCTAAGGTCCTGTGACCACTTGAACAAGCACACACGCACGCGCCCTAGTAGCTGCCGCGCCTGGATCAGAATTTGGAAATAAGTGAGCAAAAACCTGGAAGACAGAAATTGCTTTTGATTACCATGCGGTACCTGAGGAAGTGCAGAGAAATGTCCTATCACTTACCTGGCTGGCCTCACTAAATGACAAACCTCCCCTTCAATGAAACTCTAAACATATGATTATGATGATCAGGATTATGATTATGTTGGCTGGTTTTGAGATACAAATAAAAGGAAAATGGCATTGCTGTATCTGGGTTGGGTTTTTTTTTTGGGGGGGGGGTTGCTGTTTGTTCAATCCTAGCCAGCTGTTGGGACGGAAACACCCAGAGTCCGCCCCCTCGAGTGTCCCCGGGACCCCGGCTCGCGCAGGGCGCACCCCCTGGCAGGCTCGGCGCGCCCCTCTGCCGGCCTGCCGCTCGCCATCCGCGTCTCACTTCCTTCTCCCCGGGCCGCCGCGGAGAACACCCGGACTGGGTGGGATCGCATTCCAGCAAGAACAGCCCGGCTTGCCCAACTCACCAGCCTGCGAAGTTTCCTCGGCGAAGAGGGCCGGGTGTCAGGTTTCAGAGACCTCCTTCCCCTTCCCGAGCCCTTGAACTCCGGGCTTTTCCACGCCCGCGGCCGCACGGGATCGGCTCTACAGGGCGCCACTCATCGGGACAGCTCGTCGCGCCCACCCTGTGGCTCGGGAGCGGTGCCCAGCCCCTGGCCGTCGGCACTGCGGGTGGCTGGACTGCTAGCACCACCCCCGGGGCTGCCGAGCCGCGGGGATCTGGAAGGTCTGTGTGAGAAGAAGGCGTGTCTCCCTGTCCTAACGCGGATGTGCAGGGAGCTCAACTCGGGCAGATCTTGCGGGTGACTCAAAGGCCCTGGGCTTCTGGAGAAACTCCACGCTGCCAGGCTGTACGCCCTCGCCGCGAGCTCATTTTTATTCCTCTGTTTCCCCGTGTTTTCTCTGCTCTTATTCAAAGAGCCCAGGGCACTGTGAGAACTGCTTCCAACGCATTGCATTTCCTCCTCCCAGGGGAGGTCTCATTAGCTGCGGGGAGAGCCTGGGATTGCCGGTGGAGAACACAGAAGGGCCGCGGGAAATTAAAGGGGACTTAATGAAATTAGTGTTTAAAAGTTAGAACCTGTTAATGTGAATACATTAATCAGTACACACCATCCTGATTTTTTACCTCCTAACGTCACTTCACAGATCAGTAGGGTGGTAAGTTACTGAGGTCACGTCTGTGAGGTCAAACGAAATCAAGAGCATACACATTCACTGGACAAATATTTATTGAGAACCTACTATGTGGCAGACCTTGCTGTAGACACTTCCAGCTCCTTCTGTCCATAGGGAAGTTCCTGGCTGGCTCTCTTGAGTTGCATTTTAGACAGACTCTGACATCCCTAGTTTAGCACTGATGGTAAGAGGGAGAAACTAACATTGTATGCATTAACAGCAGCTTAATTAGTCCTCTGTGAAGAAAATTTCAAAGTTTCAAACCATTGTTGTCAACAATGAGATGCTACTTAAATTTGAATTGTCTGACCCAGTTCTGACCTTGCGCTTCAAGGGATAGTGTGGGAGGCACAGCCATTACCAGCTAAGGGCGCATCTGCCTGAGAAGTGCCGTGGGTGGAGGTGAGGCCAGCGCCCCAAACCCAAACCAAATGCAAGAAAATAAATGGTAGGAAAATAGTGGAAGAAGAAAACGATGGGAGGAGCAGGTCGGTGGCTCAGTCCAGACTCTTTTTTTTTTTTTTCATGTTTACTTATTTATTTTCAGAGAGAGCACGAGCAGGGGAGAGACGGAGGAGGAGAGAAAGAGAGAGAGGGAGGGAGGGAGGGAGAGAGAGAGAATCCCAAGCAGGCTCCACACTGTCAGTGCAGAACCCAATGCCAGGTACAAACTCAGGGAACTGTGAAATCACAACCTGAGCCGAAATCAAGAGTCAGACACTTAACCATCTGAGCTACCCAGGCGCCCCAGAGGCAGACTTGATTTCAGCTCAGGTCATGGTCTCAGAGTTCAGTTGGTAGGATTGAGCCCCATATTGGGCTCTACACTGATAGCTCAGAGCCTGCTTGAGATTCTCTCTCTTCCTCTCTCTCTCTCCCCCTCCTGTGCACATGTGTGCACACACACACACACACACTCTCTATCAAAATAAATAAACTTAAAAAAAAAAGAAAAGAGGGGCACCTGGGTGGCTTAGTCAGTTAAGCGTCCGACTTTCGCTTAGGTCATGATCTCGCGGTTCGTGGGTTCGAGCCCCGCGTCGGGCTCTGTGCAGACTGCCAGCTCAGAGCCTGGAGCCTGTTTCAGTCTGTGACTCCCTCTCTCTCTGACCCTCCCCTGCTCACGCTGTCTCCCTCTCTCTCTCTCTCCTAGAAAGAAATAAATAAAAAAGAACATTAAAAAAAAAATTTAAAAAAAAAGAAAAGAAAAGAAAAGAAAAGGACAATGGGGGAAATTGGGTCCCATAAGATTCTATTTTATTAAGAAAACATGGAAGTTTTATTTCCTGTGCCTCAATGTTCTTATCTTGAAAATGAGGATAATAAAGTTCATTACTAGTGTTATTGTGAGTAAATGACTTCATATCAGAAAAGCACATAGAATAGTATCTGGCAAGGTAAATTCTACATACGTGCTGTCTATATGTATTATTTTGGTAGCACTTATTTACTCCATTCTCCCAAAGGTCCGATTAATAAAAATTATTCTGATCTACTAGGAAAAAGTATAGGAAGTTTGGGTTGTAGATTTTCAAAACATGTATGCTGGGAATCTATATCTATGGTAAATCTGCTTTGCATCCAACAACAATATCAGTATAAAAGAAGCATGTGTCCCTGCCCCTGGAGAGAGGTAAAAGAAAGAACTTAACTCTGAATGTAATCCTTTGTATGCAGCACAGTAATTTAAAATGATTCTAAATAAATAAATAAGTAAATAAATAAATAAATAAATATTATTCTCTGTGCTAATCAGTGAAAAATCTGAATTCTTCACCCAGTTTCTGTATTCACTTACATTAATCCTAATAGCTATTATTTCCCATATGAAGTTTATAAAATCCTTGCACATAGATCATCTCATTTGACTCTCACAACACTGCTTTGAAATAGGCAAGACACCTATTATTTTTATTTTTCCCACATTAAAAAAGAAGAAAATGAGGCTGAGAAAGTCCCAACAATGTGCCCAGAATCACGAAGATCCATAAAAGAAGAACTCAGGTTTCCAGGCATGCCTGGGCAACTCAGTAGGTGGAGTGCTGGACTTCGGCTCGGGTCATGATCTCCCAGTTCCTGGGTTCAAGCCTCACAGTAGGCTGTCTGAGGTCAGCACAGAGCCCGCTTCAGATCCTCTGTTCCCCTCTCCCTCTCTGCACCTCCTTGCTCTCACAAATAAATACATATTTTTTAAAAGAATTAAAAAAAAAGAACTCAGATTTGCTGATCCTAAAGGCAGGGCTCATGGTGGTCACCACACAGTGCTGCCTCCATAGCATTTCTAGAAAAAGTTCCTGCTGTGAGAAAGTCTAATAGGCATTTATCATCTGCTTTTCCTGTCACCCTTCCCCCAGAGAAGTGTGCCAGCTGCCTTGTGGGTCCACGTTTGCAGGGACAGCCCTCCTGGAGATGCAAGAGTGGTGGAATTTTTCCTTCCCTGTGGGAAGACAGGTTCCGAGGAGGAGAAGGTGGTAGGAAAGTGAAAGAAATGATCCTGGGCCATCTCATGAAGGCCGCTTTGACCAGAGGTAGAGCAGAATAAAAGACCGTGCAAAACCAGTGAAAACAAAGTGACTGCATTATGTGTCACAATTTAAAAATAACTGCCAGGGAGGCTGAGTGGCTCAGTCAGTTAAGCATCTGACTTCAGCTCTGGTCATGATCTCACAGTTCATGAGTTTGAGCCCCGCATCGGGCTCTGTGCTGACAGCTCAGAGCCTGGAGCCTGCTTCAGATTCTGTGTCTCCATCTCTCTCTCTGCCCCATCATCTCTCCCTCTCTCTCTCTCTCTCTCAAAAATAAATAAACATTTAAAAAAAATAATTGCCTTCCTGTACCTTGAGTTTATGTACCACAAATTAAATAGACATAAATTGTCAATAGGTTTATCAATTAATAAATACAGCCCTGAGGTAAACAGATACAGAAATGTACATGGGAGACTTCTAGTTAGAAACGGCACGGGCACCTGGGTGGCTCAGTCGGTTAAGAATCTGACTCTTGATTTTGGTTCAGGTCATGATCTCACAGTCTGAGTTCCAGCCCTGCATCGGGCTCTGTGCTAACAGTGTGGACCCTGCTTGGGATCCTCTCTCTCTCTCTCTCTCTCTCTCTCTCTCTCTCTGCCCTTCCCCCGCTTGTTTGCATGTGCTTCCTCTCTCAAAATAAATAAACTTAAAGTTTCTTTTAAATTGCAAACTGAGGGCAATTGCAAACCCTAGTCAGTTAAGGGCCTGACACTTGATTTCTGCCCAGGCCATGATCTCACAGTTGTGAGATCAAGTCCCGCATCCGGCTCTTGATGAATGTGGAGCCTGCTGGGGATTCCATATATACATATCGCCCGTGCTCTCTCTCTCCATCTCTTTAAAAAGTAAAAAACAGAAAAACAAAAAAATATTTAAAAATGGCAAATTGATCACCCTTGTTTCATCCCCCCTTCCCCAAACTCCTCTAACATGAGAACAAATGGATTTTTAAATGTTATGAAGTCGTAAGGACAGACAGAAGGGAGAGGAGACCTCAAAAAGACAAAATAAACTGCAATCAATGCAATCGATGGTTGGAAGAATGTAAATCAGATGGAGACTCATAACTAAATTTGAAGAGGAGACCAGTTTACACACCGCACGCCTGGAGGAGGGGTTACGGATAAGACGTAACGTTTCCGTGCGTTAGCCTGGGAGACTCAGGCCGACGAGTCAGAAATACCACCGTAAATGGAGGCCAGGTGGTAGGGTGGACACGGGTTTGCTTAGACGTCTGTATACCGAATGCCTGGACCCAAAGCTTCCTTCCCCACTGCCGTGCGATCAGCCGACCATAAGTTCCTCCATCTGCTCAGCCCAGCCTCCAGGAGATAAGAAGTTTATTTTCTGGAGAAAGTAAACTAGAGTAATTTGTGGTTTAACAGATGAACACATATTTTCACTCGGCTCCTGTAGCAAATGAATTAAAAAGGAATTTAGATGCAAGACAGGAAAAAACTCTCAAAATTGAAAATATACTCAAAACGGGGCGCCTGGGTGGCTTAGTCGGTTGAGCGTCCGACTTTCGCTTAGGTCATGATCTCACGGTTCGTGGGTTCGAGCCCCGCGTCGGGCTCTGTGCTGACTGCCAGCTCAGAGCCTGGAGCCTGTTTCAGTCTGTGACTCCCTCTCTCTCTGACCCTCCCCTGCTCACGCTGTCTCTCTCTCTGTCTCCTAGAAATAAATAAATAAATAAATAAATAAATAAATAAATAAACATTAGAAAATATACTCAAAAAATTTTTAATTTGGGGCGCCTGGGTGGCTTAGTCAGTTAAGCGTCCGACTTTCGCTTAGGTCAT